AAACACAGCACACCACACACAGCACACCACACACAGCACACCACACACAGCACACCACACACAGCACACCACACACACACAGCACACCGCACACAGCACACCACACACAGCACACCACGCACGGCACACCACACACATCATACACAGCACACCACACACAGCACACCACACACATCATACACAGCACACCACACACAGCACACCACACACATCATACACACACCACACACAGCACACCACACACAGCACACCACACACATCATACACACAGCACACCACACACAGCACACCACACACAGTACACCACACACAGCACATACACATAACAGACATCATGCACACATCACAGACATCACGCACACACCACACACACCACACACACCACGCACACACCACACACACCACACATACCACAGACACCCCATACACACCACACACACCACACACACCACACACACCACACACGGTATACCACGCACTTCATACCATGATGTCGGATTGCTCGGTTTGTAGCGCAGTGCGCTAACCGCTGCACCACTGCTCACCATATCCCCGCGTGTCTCCCTGTGTCTCCACGTGTCTCCCTGTGTCTCCGTGTGTGTCTCTCTGTGTGTCTGTGTGTTTTTGTGTGTGTGTCTCTGCGTGTTTATCTGTGTCTCTCTGTGCGTGTGTCTCTGTGTGTCTCTCTGTGCGTGTGTCTCTGTGTGTCTCTCTGTGCGTGTCTCTGTGTGTGTGTCTCTGTGTGTCTCTCTGTGCGTGTCTCTGTGTGTGTGTCTCTGTGTTTCTCTGTGCGTGTGTCTCTGTGTGTCTCTGTGTTTCTCTGTGCGTGTGTCTCTGTGTGTCTCTCTGTGCGTGTGTCTCTGTGTGTCTCTCTGTGCGTGTCTCTGTGTGTGTGTCTCTGTGTTTCTCTGTGCGTGTGTCTCTGTGTGTGTTTCTGTGTGTCTCTCTGTGCGTGTCTCGCTGTGCGTGTGTCTCTGTGTGTGTCTGTGTGTCTCTGTGCATGTGTCTCTGTGTGTCTCTGTGTGTTTCTGTGTGTGTCTCTGTGTGTCTCTCTGTGCGTGTGTCTCTGTGTGTCTCTCTGTGTGTCTCTCTGTGCGTGTGTCTCTGTGTGTGCGTCTGTATGTGTCTCTGTGTGTGTGTCTGTATGTGTCTCTGTGTGTGTGTCTGTATGTGTCTCTGTGTGTGTGTCTGTGTGTGTCTCTGTGCGTGTGTCTCTGTGTGTGTGTCTGTGTGTGTCTCTGTGCGTGTGTTTCTGTGTGTGTCTTGGTGCGTGTGTCTTTGTGCATGTGTCTCTGTGTGTCCCTGTGTGTTTCTGTGTGTGTCTCTGTGTGTCTCCCTGTGTGTGTCTCTGTGTGTGTCTCTGTGTGTGTCTCTGTGTGTTTCTCTGTGTGTCTCTCTGTGCGTGTGTCTCTGCGTGTGTTTGTGTGTCTCTCTGTGCGTGTGTCTCTCTGTGCGTGTGTCTCTGTGTGTCTCTCTGTGCGTGTGTCTCTGTGTGTCTCTGTGTGTGTCTGTGTGTGTCTCTGTGTGTGTCTCTGTGTGTGTCTCTGTGTGTGTGTCTCTGTGTTTCTCTGTGCGTGTGTCTCTGTGTGTCTCTGTGTGTGTCTCTGTGTGTGTGTCTCTGTGTTTCTCTGTGCGTGTGTCTCTGTGTGTCTCTGTGTGTGTCTCTGTGTGTGTGTCTGTGTGTGTCTCTGTGTGTGTCTTTGTGTGTCTCTGTGTGTCTCTGTGTTTCTCTGTGCGTGTGTCTCTGTGTCTCTCTGTGTGTATCTCTGTGTGTGTGTCTCTGTGTTTCTCTGTGCGTGTGTCTCTGTGTGTCTCTGTGTGTGTCTCTGTGTGTGTGTCTGTGTGTGTCTCTGTGTGTGTCTTTGTGTGTGTGTCTGTGTGTGTCTCTGTGTGTGTCTCTGTGTGTCTCTGTGTGTTTCTGTGTGTGTCTCTGTGTGTGTGTCTGTGTGTGTCTCTGTGTGTGTCTTTGTGTGTGTGTCTGTGTGTGTCTCTGTGTGTCTCTGTGTGTGTCTCTGTGTGTGTCTATGTGTGTGTCTTTGTGTGTGTGTCTGTGTGTGTCTCTGTGTGTGTCTCTGTGTGTGTCTCTGTGTGTCTCTGTGTGTGTCTCTGTGTGTGTCTCTGTGTGTCTGTGTGTGTCTCTCTGTGTGTGTCTCTGTGTGTGTCTCTGTGCGTGTGTCTGTGTGTGTCTCTGTGTGTGTGTGTCTGTGTGTGTCTCTGTGCGTGTGTCTCTGTTTGTGTCTGTGTGTGTCTCTGTGTGTGTCTCTGTGTGTCTCTGTGTGTGTCTCTGTGTGTGTCTCTGTGTGTGTGTCTCTGTGTGTCTCTGTGTGTGTCTCTGTGTGTGTCTCTGTGTGTCTCTCTGTGTGTGTCTCTGTGTGTGTCTCTGTGTGTCTCTCTGTGTGTGTGTCTCTGTGTGTCTCTGTGTGTCTCTCTGTGTGTGTGTCTGTGTGTGTCTCTGTGTGTGTGTCTCTGTGTGTCTCTGTGTGTGTGTCTGTGTGTCTCTGTGTGTGTGTCTGTGTGTCTCTGTGTGTGTGTCTCTGTGTGTGTGTCTGTATGTGTCTCTGTGTGTGTCTCTGTGTGTGTTTCTGTGTGTATCTCTGTGTGTCTCTGTGTGTGTGTCTGTGTGTGTCTCTGTGTGTGTCTCTGTGTGTCTCTGTGTGTGTCTCTGTGTGTCTCTGTGTGTGTCTCTGTGTGTGTCTCTGTGTGTCTCTGTGTGTCTCTGTGTTTCTCTGTGCGTGTGTCTCTGTGTGTGTCTCTGTGTGTGTGTCTCTGTGTGTGTGTCTGTATGTGTCTCTGTGTGTGTCTCTGTGTGTGTTTCTGTGTGTATCTCTGTGTGTCTCTGTGTGTGTCTCTGTGTGTGTGTCTCTGTGTGTGTCTCTGTGTGTGTCTCTGTGTGTGTGTCTCTGTGTGTGTCTCTGTGTGTGTCTCTGTGTGTGTCTCTGTGTGTCTCCGCGTGTCTCTGACCAGGGTGCTCCAGGACCAAAGGGAGCTAAAGGTGCATCGGTGAGTGTGCGCACAAACACACGTGTACACACACACACGTGTACACACACACACGTGTACACACACACGTGTACACACACACACGTGTACACACACACACGTGTACACACACACGTGTACACACACACACGTGTATACACACACACACGTGTACACACACACGTGTACACACACACACGTGTACACACACACACACACGTGTACACACACACACACGTGTACACACACACGTGTACACACACACACACGTGTACACACACACACACACACGTGTACACACACACACGTGTACACACACACGCACGTGTACACGCACACACACACACGTGTACAGACACACACACACACGTGTACACACACACACGTGTACAGACACACACACACACGTGTACACACACACACGTGTACAGCAATGTCGAGAGTGGTGAGCGAGCTGGTGAGTGAGGTGGTGAGCGAGGTGGTGAGCGAGCTGCTGAGCGAGCTGCCGAACGAGCTGCCGAGCGAGGTGGTGAGCGAGGTGGTGAGTGAGGTGGTGAGCGAGGTGGTGAGCGAGGTGCTGAGCGAGCTGCTGAGCGAGCTGCTGAGCGAGCTGCTGAGCGAGATGGTGAGCGAGGTGGTGAGCGAGCTGCCGAGCGAGCTGCCGAGCGAGCTGCTGATGTTGCCACGGTGTTTGCGTTGCAGGGATCGGCCGGGCCTAAGGGAGAGCTGGGTCCTGCTGGAGCCCCCGGACCCCCGGTGAGTGCACGCCGCCCTATGGGGGAGCTTCCCTGCACCGCTTCAAGTTCATTCCGTTTTCTCTATTCCTTCTCTCTCACCGCGGGGGGCACGGGGGGGATGGCGGGGACGGGGGGGCCCGTTCCCCCGATGACGTACGTACGTACGTACACATGCGTGCCCGCACGTGTGTACATGTACGTGTGTACATGTACGCGTGTGCATGTACGCGTGTACATGTACGCGTGTACATGTACGCGTGTGCATGTACGTGTGTACATGTACGCGTGTGTACATGTACGTGTGTACATGTACGCGTGTACATGTACGCGTGTACATGTACGCGTGTACGTGTGTACATGTACGCGCGTACATGTACGTGTGTACATGTACGTGTGTACATGTACGCGTGTGCATGTACGCGTGTACATGTACGCGTGTGTACATGTACGTGTGTACATGTACGCGTGTGTACATGTACGCGTGTACATGTACGTGTGTGTACATGTACGTGTGTACACGTACGTGTGTACATGCGCGTACGCGCGGGCACGGCGGTGACGTTGGAGGATTGTGCGGCAGCGGTGACGTGGCCGGTGGGTGGGGTTGTCGCCAGGGCCCCCCAGGAGAGATCATCCAACCCCTGCCCCTGATGAGCTCCAAGAAGAACCGTCGCTCGGTGGACGGCTCGCAGGCCGACCGCGGCGAGGGGCCGGAGGAGGCCGCCGGCGACCTCGGCGACCTCGGCGAGATCTTCAACTCGCTGGGCGCCCTCAAGCGCGAGATCGAGACCATCAAGTACCCGCTGGGCACGCGCGACAACCCCGCTCGCACGTGCGCCGACCTCAGGCTCAGCCAGCCGGAGCTTAGCGACGGTGCGGTGCGGCGGGCGGTGCACCGCACCGCACAGACACGCTCACTCACTCACTTACTTACACACTCACACACACACTCACACACACTCACACACTCACACACACACTCACTTAGACACTCACACACACACTCACTTAGACACTCACACACACACTCACACACACACTCACTTAGACACTCACTTACACACTCACTTACACACTCACACACACACTCACACACACACTCACACACACACTCACTTAGACACTCACACACACACTCACACACTCACTTACACACTCACTCACTTACACACTCACTCACTTACACACTCACTTACACACTCACTCACACACACACTCACTTACACACTCACTCACTTACACACTCACTCACACACACACTCACTTACACACTCACTCACTTAC